AGCTGATGCAAGCCCAGGAGCTGATTTCTGAGGTTGTTTTGAGGCTTGAAGCCAATTATGCTTTTCCAGCCCCAAACAGGCTGCTCTCCAAATGAACAGCTGGCAGCTGCCAAGGGAAGAAGTTGTGTCAGTGGGAACTGTTGGACGTGACCTCATCCCTTGTCACCTCTGAGTCTTTTGACCCGCAGGGCAAATAGTGAAAGATAGAGGAACAGAAGTAACTTCACAGGATCCTGTGCCTTTCTCCTAACCGAGCTCCTGTTAGTAAAATTGGTTTCTGTGTATCTGTAGAGGGGCATATTTATAGCTCAGGGTTGAAATGAGGGGTCCTTGGTGCTCTGTGAATTTGGTTGTTTTCTTGCAGACATCTCATTACCAAACTAAGTAACATCATCGGTGCTATGAGGGGTTTCTTTCTTTCTTTGCTATATTCAAAATTACAACAATCTTGAAAAAATGTGACTTATGACTGTAACAAATTCGCCCAGACCTTATTTTAATGGCCATCTGTATTGTTTTACTAAACAGGGCTGATTTTCCTCAATGCTACAGGGCCAGGAGGAGTTGTGGTATAAAATTAATTTAATTTACTCTCCCCAGAAGATGGAGGGTGGCAGCAGGGAGTGCCAACCCCACATCCAAGCAGGGGGTGCAGGGGTAGATCCCAAGGCCTTCTGAGAGAGGATTTTTACAATCTCCAGTCTTTACCCAACTGGCAAACTATGCTGCTACAATTGTTATTTGCTGTAATGCACCCAATTAATACTGTTCTTATGCGTCCATTCTCCGTTTCCTGCTTTATAACTGTTTCTGCCTTCCTGACAGAACAAAAAGATCCTGATGGGGAAGAAATAAAGAACTACTCTGAACATAGGCAGTTTTACATCTTATTTAAATTGTAGTTGTTGCAATGATAAAAATAAAACGGACTTTGCTTCTGCTCTGATGTTGCTTCTGCTCTGATGTTAACCTAATGTACCATGGAATGATCACCTTTCTGGTTGTTGAGGAAAAATAATCTTTTTCCAAAATGAATAATATGACAAAATGAAGATATCTCACCACATGTGGGCCTACTCACCTGACAAAAATGTTTGTAAAAATTTAAAAAAGCTACAATTTTGAGTAGGATAACCAGAGAGAGGCGTTCATTCCATGTCAGCTGTTGATGCCTGTGTAGATTCTCCAGGTAACTATTAGGAAAATCATAGTTCCTAAGGCCCTTACTGTTCTTTTATATCTGGTGTAAGGCCAAGATAATAGTTATTCGCTTGGTAGAATGTACTGTTTGCCCCCAGATACGATCAGCTTATGTATTTATATATCTAGGTAGCACTTCTTGAATTTATCCCTAATTAGGCAAGTAAGAAATTCACAACAGAAGTTTTACTTCTTGAAAGATTTAGGAGTTCAATTCTTTTCTTCTAACTTGGTTCTCAATTAATTTAGGTTTTGGGTTTTATACAACTTCCAGTGCAGACAGATAATCCAGCCACGTGGATTTATCCCTGTTGGGAGAACATACCAACCATCTAGTTCTGCATAATTTATGAATTATAACTATTTCTGTTGCTATTTCATCTAAAAAGAGAGGAGCTGGAATCTCAATCTTCAGGCTGTAGGGTTAGGGTTAGAGTTTAGGTCACGGGCCTGCAACCTTGACAACTTTAAGACTTGTGGACTTCAGCTCCCAGAATTCCTCAGCCAGCAGAAGGAGCTGAAATCCACAAGACTTAAAGTTGTCAAGGTTGCAGACCCCTGGTTTAGGTGAATAGAGAAAACAGTGTTTGAAAGAGAGCAAAATCAATTCAGCTTTGCTGAAGAAGTTATATTGCTAGAAAATACTATATCCTCTGCCCCTCTATGATACAAAGTCAGAAGTTACACGGTTGTGGACCTATTTGGAGCAAGCTATATGAATGGAAGACATAGAGATACAACTCTGGATAACGATTCGGTCAATGGAAGAAGAAAGCTTCTCCATCCCATTCTGTGCTCTCATATTCAAGTAGCGGATTCTAGTCCGTGTTGTATTTGATTGTTCCTTTACTGTAGATGGCTGATCCTAAAAGACAAAAACTCTCATCACTTTGATAGAATCATTATACATTCTGGGGCTGGTTGTTTAACCCATTGTCATTACTTTGTTCCTCTTTATGTTTAATTTTAAGCCCCACTTTTTCACTATGCTCTTTGATGTTTATTTATTTATTTATTTATTTATTTGTGAGACTTATATACTGCTTTAAGTGCAAGCACTCTCTAAGCGGTGTACACCAGTAAGCAATGTATATATATATTTACATTGCCCCCAACAATCTGGGTCCTCATTTTACCTACCCCGGAAGGATGGAAGGCTGAGTCAACCTTGAGCCGGTGAGATTTGAACCGCTGACCTGCTGAACACAGTCAGCTAAAGTGGCCTGCAGTACTGCAGATCCTTTCATTTGGAGCCATGAAGGCAGCGTCAACAGGTTACTGATGTTTATTCCTCTGGTTTTAACAGACTCATCTTCCAATTCAAATTCCTTTGATATAAATATACAGAATATAACTTGAACAAATAAGGAAAGAGAATACCAGAGTCCCCTTATAAGGGAGATAGGTAGGTAGGTAGGTAGGTAGATAGATAGATCTGTCCACCTGGAGCCAGTTTATTTCAACATGTTCTGTACGTAGCATGGCTTCCTGACGTGTATTTAAGTTTTTCATGAGGACAATGAGATTACAGGGAGTCCTTAATGTACAATAGTTCATTTAGTGACCTTTCAAAGTTACAACAGCTCTGAAATGTGACTTGTAACCCTTTTTCAGTTATGATCTTTGCAGCAACCCCATGATCATGTGATCAAAGTTCAGATGCTTGGCAACTGGTTCGTGCTTATGCCCATTGCTGTGTCCCAAAGTCAGGTGATGTTTTCCAACCTTCTGACAAGCAAAGTCAATGGGTGGGCCAGATTCATTTAGCTGGGCTACTAACTTATCAACTGCAGTGATTCACTTAACCCCTGTGACAAGAAAGGTTGGTAGAACAGGGCAAAGCTCACTTAAGAAATGTCTCAACAATTGAAATTTTGGCTTCGATTGCGATCCTAAGTCGACAACTACTGTATTCTAGAATTCCCATTTTTTTTTTCCTGAGCATTTCTCACACGGGAGGTTTTTTCCTCCTCCGTGGGTTTCGAATATTATTAGGTGGCTTCCGTTTGGTTCTCCGTTGCGAAAGGCAGCAACCATCGCCTCAGGCAAATGCGCCTCTTTGCAGGCGCAGCGGCCCGCCTCGGTCGCTTCCAGCCCCATTTTGCAAGCGGGACCTTAATGCGCCTTAGTGAGAACGAAACCAGAGACGGCGTCAAGAGGAGGCAGGAGGGGGAACACCGCAGCCGCCCAACGCACGAGACTGCGCGCGGCTGCCATTGGACACGGCCGAGGGTGGGTCGGAAGGCGCCTCTCTCGGAGGCTGAGCAGCGCGTGGCTCCGGGCCTTCCTTCACTCGATGTGCAGCCCTCCCACCGTGCGGCGAGCCTGGCTGTCAAGGAAGGAAGGAAAGAGGCTCGTTCAGAGCGGCCAACGCCATTGGGCCCGGGAGCGAAAAGAGGCGGGCCACTAGCTCTCCTTATAGGGCAGGAGAGCCGCGGGTGAGGGAGGGTTGCGCCTTTCGCCGGCTGACGAAAGAGCTCGAAGATCGGCCAGGGAGGTCAATCCGCTGTCGCTCTTCGCCGAGGGGTCTCAGCCGGAGAGGCTGCGCCTGCTGCGTAATTACGCATCGCTTCCAAGAGTTCGCGGTTAGTGCCCAGGTACTGAGCCAGTAGAGCCTGCGTGTTTTCCATTCATCCTAGGCGAGGCCGCGAGTCTGTTGCTCGCTCGGTGTGGTGGAAAGCGGGAAGTCGCGTGTTTGGGAATCATTGGGGGGGGGGGATCCCCAAGCCGACCTGTCCTATGGGAGAGATGCTCTGCGGGGAAGAACCGGGTGGACATCGCTGGCTCGCCTCGACCCTTCCGCGCGTACTAAAAAAAGTAGTTTTTCCTTCATGTCTGTGTCGCCTCGTGGTTACTACGCGGATACGCCGAGTTGCTTTAAATTGCATCAGATAGCCGCCACCTTAATTAGCCTTGGAGCAATTGCTGCATAGGTGGGGAATGCATTGGAGATTGCCTCTCGGCTGAAGAATGCTCCTACCTAACGACGCGGGAGTATGCCGGCGTATCCCCGTAACATTTTTTTTTTGGGGGGGGCGGGGGCAGATTCAAAGGGCACCTGCACCTCTCAGCTGCTTCTTGCAATGGGGGGGGGGGTGTAGAAACTTAAAAGACATACGCGGTGGATTTTTACTATTAAGCGTTATAAGTGTTAATTTTCTAGCAATTTGAACTGTTTTTAAACATTAAATACTTCAAATGCATTTAATACTGATTCATTACTGCCAATGCGCGCGAAAAGACGATTGCAATTTGACGAATTGAACTGAATTTGAAGCGCCTCGCCTCCGGCTTTGCAAAGCGACGCTGCTTCTGAACGTGGAGAGTTCGTTTTCCTGTCGTGCAAGCATGAATGCATTGTCATTTAACTGTTACAGATAAAGATCATTTGTAAACTCCTTGTAATTGCCTCTCTCCCGTTGCCTTTAACGTGCGCCCTCTCGCACGGCTGGCTCCTCGGCAGCCCTATTAAGTTCAACGGGACTCCCTTCCTAGCAGCTTTTTGCAACCTGGTGCCCTCCAGTTGTAAACGTCATTTCCCACAATTCCCAGTTTGGACGCCCGGGGGTTGTGAAGTTGCTGTCCAAGGCATCTTGAGAGTGGAAAATTGTGCATGGCGCTATATTTCAGCTAGAACGTAATGGATGCTTTGTTATCTGTTTTATTTGAGCGCTCCACGCCGCCCAGAATCGCATTGTGTGAGCTGGGTGGCTATATAAGCGCGATTAATTAATTAATGTCTTAATTTGCCATTGGGCATCCACGCTTCCTGAATTCCTCACAATTCTTGTTTTCAACCCTGCTTGCGGCTTGGCTGAAGTCCAGGTGTTGGGAGTGACGACGCCTTCTTGATTTTCTGTTGTGGAACGCGATTTTCTGTTGTCCAGGCAAGACGCGAGCGGCAGCCTTGCGAGGCGATCGGAGAACAGGACGGTGCCCGATGCCAAGCAAGGCACGGGGGTGCGAGAGGGAGATCGCTCGGGTTATTTCAGAGAGTAACGGACGGAGAATGCGGAAGACGCCCAGCTCGCTTCGCCCCGAGCGGAGGGCCGAGCAGGCGAGGCTGCGCCAGCGGAGGATTCGCAGCAAGACCCTGGAAGGCGGTGCCCAGTACGGCACTAGGAAGGCCGGGCTCCCGGGCTTCTGCGCTGATTGCGTGGCTCTCTCAGAGGCGCGCCTGGGTCCTTAATCTTTCTCTTGACACGCGAGGAGGAGTCTGAGTTTGGTCGTCAGAACCTGGAGCTTTTGCCTTGCATGGCGCCTTTCAGCTCGTTTTTAAACCTAGCCCATGAACTCAGTCGAGGATCTCTTACTGTGACATCGAAATCCCAGAGTTGCTTTAATTGCACCCTGTTTAAATTAATTGCTGGGGGTGCCGTGTGCAATCAAGCACCTTGCACCCCTCAGCCTTCTTTCCAGCTTTGATAGGACTCTGGTTTTGGCTCTCCTGGTGATATGACAATATTGGTCCCCTAGAAGTTAAATACGTTGGGAAAGGCTTAATATCCAGAAGTTCTGCTTTTTATTCATTGAGGGGCAATGATCTGCATGGTTATTTGGGAGTAAGTTGCATTATGTTAAGGAATTGTGGTGGGTGGTTACATATCCTCTGGTTTTAAGGTGTGTGCGCCTTTATGTCAGCGTTGATTTGAGGTGACTGCCTACACTAGGCAGTCTAATCTAGTTTTCTTGACAAGATTTCAGATGTTGCTTGCCATTGCCTCCTTCCTAGGGCTGAAGGGGTGTGATTGGTCCAAGGTCATCTGTTGACTTTGCTCCTAAGGTGGGCCTGTGGCTCACCTGGTTTCTCATTTGATGCCTTAAACCAGACATGAGTGACGTCACATGACGTACACCAGACTAGCTCTCCCTATCTCTCCTGTAGAATGTCATTTTTCTTTTCTTTGCCGTTTTTACAGATAGTCCTTAACTTACGACCACAATTGAGCCCCAGATTTTTCTTGCCACGTGAAACATTTGTTATGTGAATTTTACCCCATTTTACAACCTTTTGTACCACGGTTGTTAAGTGAATCACTGCAGTTATTAAGTTAGTGACACGGTTGTTAAGCGAATCTGGCTTCCCCATTGACTTTGCTTGTAAGAAAGTCATAAAAGGTGATCATGTGACCCCAGGCCACTGCAACCGTCATAAATATGAGTCAATTGCCAAGCGACCAAATTTTGATCACGTGACCGTGGGGTTACTGTAACGGCCATAAGTGTGAAAGTCACATTTTCCAGTGCTGTTGTAACTTCAAACGGTCACTAAGTGAACTGTTGTAAGTCAAGGACTACCTGTACATTCTTCCTCAGAATCTTGGAAGCTAAGCAGCCTAGGACTTGGTTAACATTTGCTTGGGAAGTTGCAGAAACATCACAGAAGTTTTCTCAGTTTTGACCTCACTTACATATTTCTGATATGGGCATGTCCCAGTTAAAAAATAAGAATGAAAACATGGGCCGGTCCATAGTTTCAGAATTATTGACACTTTCTTTAAACTAAATTTGTACCTCTGTAGATGCCATATGCCAGAGGTAAGCAACCTTGGCTCTTTTATGACTTGTGGACTTCAACTCCCAGAATTGCTGGCTCAGGAATTCTGGGAGTTGAAGTCCACGAGTCATAAAAGAGCCAAGGTTGCCTATCCCTGCCATATGCTAAGTAAATAAACTGGAATTGTGGTGATATCATTTGTGTTTTACAATAGAATACCTTATATGGCCAAGTGTGCTTAGATACATAAAAAAATTGTCTCTGGTGCAGAAGCTCTCTACTTGAAAGCAACAGAATAATAATACCAATAAGAGGGGGTAGTAAAGATAAGGATAATACAGCCATACTACACAAGTAAATATACATAAATATTAGACAGTACTATGAGAATTAGGTGCTCAGCAGAGTGAGGGCATGAGGGAAAAAACTGTCCTGTTGTTTTAGCATGCAGTGCTCTATAGCAGTGATGCAACTGTGATGCTCAAATATTAAATGCTTATAAGAGAAGTTGGAGGCTGAAGGTCTCTAAAAGCTGCTGAATTATGGCCTCCAGTATCTTTCACATGCTAGTTGGAGTTACTGCAATTCACAACTCCTGGAACATTAGTGGTTCTCCCACCCTGGTGTATGAAATTGCAATATAGTACAATATAGTTAGCTCACCAATACAAGGTAACCTGAATTACCATCCACCCATTGTTTTGAATAGTATTAAAATAGTAATTATTAACTTTAATTCTTAAAATATTGTTGTGATTATGTAAATGCATGGTGAGCTAAAAAAAAGGTATTCCTTAAACTTTTTTTACTTATCTCATACCAGGATAAATACAAATACCCCTTTGATAGTGACTAACTTATCAGTTCTTGAAGAACTGAGTCATATACTATAACCAGCTTATTTGCATTTGGTCTTTGAAATATGCAGAAGGAAGTGGTGCCTTTGAATTGCATGACTCATAGATAGTTAGATTATATGAAAGAAGAAAGCTGTATTTCCCCATCAATTATGTCTCTGGAAATTTTCAAAATGGTTAAGTTTGAAGGGAATGGATAGGGACAATGAAGCAAAGAAGCAATTTTGTGCCTTTTAAAAAAAATTAGAATTATGGATTTTCTTTTGAAAATAGGGATTATTCCCCTTTCTCCCACCCCTCTTTTGCAATGACAGAGATAGTTTTTTTCATAGTTTTTTAGAGCAGTGGTTCTTAACCTGTGGTCTGCAGACCCTTGGGGGGGGGGCTGCAATGTCACGGAGTTCTTGAAGGCTTGAATGTTATGATTTAAATTTTGAGTTAAGTCTCGGTGTTTAAAGGCCCTCCGTGGAGAAGAAGAGGTTGAGAACCACTGCTTTGGAGTATATCTTCCTGAGGAATTTCCATTAGTCATGCATGATAGAATTTGGCAAGCAAGGTCACTGTTCTGATGTCCTCACCTCCCTCTTGTACAACTTTTAAAAAACTTCCACTGAACTTATTTTAACTCTTTAGGTGCTGGTCTGCTCCCTTAAGTTTTTCTTAGGTGGTGACTAGAAGATTCTACTCTCAAACTGCCACAGATTATTCAATGCTCAGTCTGCCATTGTAAGAACTACCCAAGCTGAGGTTAAAGTCCTCTCATTACTCAGTAACAGCATTGGCCTGAGGATAGAGATATTTATTTATAATATTTATTTCTTGCTGTTGTAGAGAAACACAAAAATCATCGAGAGACTGTCTATCATATAGATTTATAAAAAAAAAAACTTTCAGGAAAAGTAGAGGTCTCTGATTTTCTTTTGCAAACCACAACAGTATTGAGATTTATACATACATGTATAAAAACATAAGAGTCTAGTAATTAAGATGATGAATTAGGAGATGGGGAAACATGAGTTCTACTCTTGCCTTAGGCACAAAAACCTACTTGGATGGCTTTGATCCAGTCATTTTCTCTCTACTATTTGAAGAAGAAAATAGCATTTGCTTTCTAAAAATGTCTTTTCCCTTCGTTGGATTGACCTGTATATAAAAATAAATCTCTCTCACACAAAAAGCAGCTAAATATATTGCAAATTGGTAATTTTGCAAGTTCTTTAGAGCCTTTTCTACATGGCTTAGTTAATGCTACCCATTCATCCTTGAGCTGGCAGAAGACTTATTTTATATTGTGCTTTTATAGTGTCTGTTCTGACTTGCTGCCAAATAGCTGTGTCTTGATTTCAGATATGCAGGAAGTATGAAGGAAAGCCTTGGGTGAAAGCTAATGGCTTCGCTGCCCTCACCTTTTTCTGAACATCACCATCTGGTGGGAAACAAATCTGCCCATCACCACGTTGCTGGGGGATGGTAGATGTCATTGACAGATGACTGGACCTGAGCATCTTGCTATCTGTTAAAACTCTTCCTAGGCCTGTGGAACACCCTTTGGAGGGGAGTGAGGTAGGGAAGATTACTATAGGCCGGGGTCTTCAAACTTGGCTCTTTTATGACTTGTGGACTTCAACTCCCTGGCTGAGGAATTCTGGGAGTTGAAGTCCACAAGCCATAAAAGGGCCAAGTTTGAAGACCCCTGCTATAGGCCTTGGAAGAGTTTTAACAGATAGCTCTGCTTTACATGTTGTACTCAGTTGTTTTGACGCCACAAATGAGACCAGAATTTCCATTGCTGAGCAAGGTAGTTGTTAAGTGAGTCACACTCACATTTTACCATGCTTTTTAAGCAAATCACTTGTAATTATTAAGTTAATTACATGATTGTGAAGCGAATCTGGCTTCCTGCATTAGTGGAAGACTGCTGGGAAGGTTGCAAATGGCCGTCAAATGACCAGGGACATTGCAGTCATGTTTGTTTGTTTGTTTATTCAAGTCAGAAGCATCACAAAATAAGGCCTATTATGCTGCATAAAATTTAAAATATAAAATACAGGACAATTTGTACAGATATGTGCAAATTAAACAGATTTTGCCAAAAATAGATGCCAATTGCCAATCGCACAATTGATCAGGTGACTATCAGGATGCTGTGATGGTTGTAAATGTGAGTGCCAGTTGTAAGTCATTGTTCCAGGGTCGTTGTAATTTTGAATGGTCACTAAACGAATGGTTGTAAGTCGAGGACTACCTGTACTGAACAGTTTCCCCCGGTCTTTATTCTTAGCTGTTCAATAGGCTTTTTTCCTTCTGACTCCGCATACAAAATAAGCTTCAAGGACAGATGATCCATGGGACGAGGTGGAAATCTTCCTGTGAAACTGCCCCCTTTTCCCCAACAGCTTGAGGGCTTGAGCCTTAGACCACTTGCTCTTTATTTATTGAATAATTGCCAGTTGGTTATGTCAACAGAACATATCATACCCCCAAAAAATCATGGTTTACACACACAACATGTTAAGCCAGGCCTAGCAGCCAATTTACAGCTTATCTCTTAAGGAACCTGGCTAGCAAGAGGTTCCCATGGAAACCATGTCCATATTGCTGCCAGGAAAACAACCTGAACCATGTAGTCCCAAGGAGCTGAGCTCAATTTATGAGAGACTTTGTCTTTTAATTATATGTAGGGCAGATGTTCTGGATCTCAACTCTTGTTTTTTTTTTCTTTCTTTCTTCAGGTTCCTCTTTTAGTGGGGGACGTTTTCAAAGCCAGCTTCAAAACTGTCTTGTTCCTCTGGAATTGAGGGATGTCCACGGCGGCCTTAATCAGTCTGGTTCGGAGTAGAGGCCACCAGCTGCAGAGAACGCTGCTTACATCTTGCACAATTCTCAGCCCCAAGTGCCAAATTTCCACCAACAGCTGCAGGGCTTCGCGTTTCGATATGGATGGGAGCGGCTGCCCTGCCACCTGGGATTCCTTTGGGATTTGGGACAACCGCCTGGATGAACCCATCTTGCTCCCCCCCAGCATCAAGTATGGGAAGCTGATTCCGAAGGTCAGCCTGTCGAACGTGGGTTGTGCCACCCACATTGGGAAACGGAAGGAAAATGAGGACCGTTTTGATTACGCCCAGCTGACTGAGGATGTCCTGTATTTTGCCATTTTTGATGGGCACGGTGGGGTGGCAGCAGCTGATTTCTGCAACAAGTACATGCGGGAATATATTCGGTGAGTGTCGTGTGTGGATTCTTTGTCTTTGCAAGAAGAAAGACACTCAATGCTCATCTGCTTGGTTGTATGGAGGTATAGTCCTCGACTTAAAATAGTTCATTTAGTGCAGTGGTTCTCAACCTTTTTAATGCCGCGACCTCCAACCGGTTGTAAGTTGAGGACTACTCAGCCGGTCGTAAGTCAAGGATTACTCAACTGGTGCAGCACCGTTTGCAGAATGGGGCTTTTGGCGGGCTTAGCAGGGCAGAGACAGCCTGGACAATTCCTATTGGCTTTTGAAAGCCAATAGAATTAGACTCTATTCAAGAGAGTCTATTCTATTGGCTTTCAAAAGCCAATAGAATAAAAGGGAGTAGCACAGCTAAGGAAAAGGGGGAAAAAAATGGTGGACTGCATTGTTTGGCGATCCCCGTGAAATGGTCGTTCGACCTCAAATGGGTCCCGACCCATAGGTTGAGAACCACTGATTTAGTGAATAAGCTATGTAAGAGTTGGATTTGTCCATGCTAAAATACAAATCATAATTTACAAATCACCATGGTTGGATTCATGCAATATGCTGTTCAAAATGAAACAAAAATATTAATAATCTAACAAAATCACTGATGGTGTGCGCTGAACAGTTACAGCTGAATTATTAATGAAAACCTCTCTTAATATGTCTAGTTGCAATCCATGAGGCCCCTGGTGAATTTTGCAAGTTTCAAGCTAATATCAGTTGAATAATTGATATGTAATAGTTTATGGATGAGAGTAAATGGTTAGTTCTGTCAGACAATATTTTAACATGATTACTTTTTATTTTTTTAGAGAATTTCTTTCTGAGGAACACAACATGGAATTAGTATTGATTAAAGCTTTTCTAGAAATAGACAAAGCATACATGAGACATGCCCACTTATCTGCAGATGGTAAGTAGGAAATGTGTTTATGTTGTTTGGGACAAGTATAAACTAAATTTACTCATCTAACAGGTACTGAAGCTTCAGGCTAGCTATCCCAAGGGAAAAATTGCAACTTAAACATCAAGGATTTGCTATATCAAAAATCTACAGAAAATTGGGAAACCCACAGGAGTCTGTGAACCACACAAAAAATTGTGAGAGAAAAATAATAAAACTTTCAAAATTAAGTGGTATATGCTTTAGGACCACATTTGCTCAAAGCTGATTGCAAATATTGAATCCAAATATCCACTGAGAAGTCTTCAGTATTCTCTTTCATTAAGTGAATAATGCAGTTATTAAGCCAATCTGACGTCCCCTGTTGAGTTTGATTATCCAAAGCTGGCTGAGAAAGTCACATGACCTCAGGATGCTGCAGCTGTTGTAAATACATGCCAGTTGCCAAGCGCCCAAATTTTTATTAGGTGATCACAAGGATGCTAGGATGGTTATACATGTGAGATCAAGCAGCTTTAGGCGGCTTAGTACATCTTCTCATTTGGGAGTGGGAAGTTCAACCTAATTGCTATCAGTTTGGGAAAGCTGACTTACATTATTGCAAGCAAGCAAGAAAAAAATCTTGCAGAAACTTTATTACTCCACCCATTTTCAAGTCACAAGTCACTTTTTTCAAAGCCATTATAACTTTAAACAATCGCTAAATCAATTGATGTAAATCAAGGACTACTTGTACAGTATATACTGTGGGTGTACGAACAGTTTTTGCTTTGTTTCCTGACATAAAAAGAAAGTTAATTTCTTTAATTTCTGTGGTTTTATGTAACAAGACATAGTAAGAAGCATCTAGCCTTAGAAGTTCTTAAAAAGTTTTCACCCATGGCTTCTCCATTTTGGCTTTCTTTTTGTAAAATAAATGATAACACGGTGTAATATGTTACATGATGATGTTCATCTGAGGTTGTATTTACCTACTTTTAAGAAGTGCAAAGGACCACGTGATTTTTACTATGTCCTAATGTGTAAAACCGTACAACTCAAGGAAGGGTGTACTTTCTTTTTCACATGGTTGTAATTGCCATACTAGATGGCAAACATATTTAAGGACATTAAAGCAGTTTCATTTTTTTTTAAAAATGAAAGCTGTGTATCCCAGGGGTTCCCAGCCTGTGGGCCATGGCCCACTATCGCGGCCTATTTGCAACCCGATCATGTGAATGGCTGGCTGATGTGCGTGCATGCACAACGCCATGGGGGTTCAGGGCCTCACTCGCATGCGTTGTGGGCACTCGGACCCCACTTGCACGAGTGTTGTGGGCACTTGGGGCCCCACTCACAAGAGTGTCACGAGTGCTTGGCCTCACTTGCGAGCTTCATAGGCCCTTGGCCTCACTCACATGAGCAACAGGTGCTCATGTACATGCATGTGTGCGCGCGCACACACCTGCCCCTCCCACAAAACTATCCCCTCTTCCCCCCCTTCAGACCGCCAACCCAGAAAGGTTGGGGAACTCTGGCGTATCCCACCTCTGAAACTGTTCCATCTTCAGATGTCAGAAGTGATGGACATAATACTAGAAAAACTTTTCAAATTTTGATTGGACTGGATCAGGGGTCCCCAACCTTGGTAACTTTAAGACTTGTGGACTTCAACTTTAAGACTTGTGGACTTCAACAGTCAGCTTGGCTGGCTGAGGCATTCTGGGAGTTGAAGTCCACAAGTCTTAAAGTTGGCCAAAGTTGGGGACCTCTGGACTAGATAACAAAATGGAAAAACGGGGTAGTGGGAAGTATTAAGATCATGAGAAAACCAAAAATCTCTAGTGCAGGGGTCCCCAAGCCCTGGTCCGTGGCCTAGTGCCAGGCTGCAACCCATTTGGAACTGGGCCATGGAAATGTGTGCATGCACACGTGTGAAACCATCCCTTCTTCCCCCACTGCCACCTCCACTGGTTGACCCACTCAGAAAGGTTGGAGACAGCTGCTATAATGGACAGAAACAATCCTTCATTGATATGTTTGACCTTTTAGCCCTTTGGGAAGGGAAACTCCCCTCAGCCCACAAGGATCCTTTATATCAGTGACCTCCAATCTGGTAGGGCTAATTATGCATTGGTCTTCAGCTCATGTAATTCACAAGAGTGTGTTTATTTATTTATTTTATTAAATTTATACGCTCCCCCCCCCATCTTGCCATCAAGCAGCTTTAGGCGGCTTAGTACATCTTCTCATTTGGGAGTGGGAAGTTCAACCTAATTGCTATCAGTTTGGGGAAGCTGACTTACATTATTGCAAGCAAGCAAGAAAAAAATCTTGCAGAAACTTTATTACTCCACCCATTTTCACTACTGCTTTATTATGGGTAATTAAATGTGCTGTTTCTAAGAATGATGTTTTTGATGATTATTATATTCATCTTAAATGGCAAAAGTATAATAGGTGGAAAATGTTGGGTTTTCTAATTAATGAAGTCAGTCAAAGCCATGGTTTTAAATTTTAAAATGTTAACATGCAACACCAAAGAAGGGAAAGAGCTGCAGAAACCTATCTTTGAATTATCACTTGGCATATTTTCTTAAAACCAAGCTTTCTAATTCTGTTTAGTGATGTTGCAATTAAATTTGAACTGTATTTGTAGGAATGTCAGGTTGTCCTCTTAACTTTTAATTCCATTGGCGAACAGTGATTATTTTGCTCTTTAAAAAGATGCTATTATATGAATGGCAGAATCTTTTTATAGTGAAATTAAGCCCGTGCCTGAAGAATTCTATCCAGTTGAAAGTTACAAGACGCACAGAAATTGGATTTTTGTGTCTGAACACAATTGTAACTCTTAACACATGTTCAATTGCACATGTATGTCTTATTTGGTGATTTCTTATCCCACTATTTTGAAATATCCTCAAAGCAAAACCTTTTAAGGTACATAAAAGTGTCCATATATTCAAAATAAAATGTTTTGTTTTTAAAAGTTTTTGAGTACCTTAACATTCCAAATTACTCCTATTTACCAATAGTGAGACCTCAGCTAAATTGATGAGGTTGCTTGGTGAAATTAATACGTATCCCTTCAAAATTCAAAACAGTAATATTTTTCCTCATTGTTTCCAAAACTGCTTTGAAGAGGGCTAGAATTCTGCCTCTTTTGCAGCTCTCTTCCTTCCAGCTGTTGCAGGTTTTCTTAATTTATTTGAAGCACAATTCCTGGGTGAATTTTTCCTATTTGCCTCTGTGTGTACATGTGATTTATGGCAGACACGGTATCCGACCAACAGCTCTAGAATTGGAGACCCGGGACTCTATATGCTGGGCTCCAGTGGAAAAAGAGATCTGCTTATGGTGGTCCCAGGTGAAGGAGTCTGGCGGGTTCCTAGCCTGGACTGCTGGAAGGTTCCCACATCCACTTTGTCTCATTAGTTGAGATGACATGCTCTAAAAATGTCCAGTGAGTGCAAAGATACCTATTGAAAGATTTTTAGATGATAATATATGGATGCTGTTTGGGAAACCACCAATGTCATATTTATGCTTTTCAAGTTAAATCAAGCTATGTAGTGAGCTTTTTGAAAATGCATTTGGAGATAAGCACAAGTGATTTTGATTAATGACGATTCCTTGATTTTGGAACTCTGTTGCTGGTTAGATCTAGTCCTTCTTGCGGTGCTTCTTTTCATACCAGTAAAACCTGTAACCTGTGAAGACTTCTTTAAGCCTCCCTTGAAGTGGACCTAAAGTTTTGTTAATAGTCACCATCCTTAACTTGATGCCTTCCATGGGCGTTATTATTAATCTTTAATATGTTATCCACATTAAAGAAGGCTTGCTAGTCTCAAATCTTACAGTGACAGATAAGAGATTTCCAGTTAATGAAACTAGAAATTGAGGGCACAGGATTGACATTCATTTCATAGGTACATATGAAGTGTGTATAGAGCAGACATGTCAAACACAAGGCCCGGGGTCCAGATGCGACCCACGAAGTGGTTTCATGTGGCCGGCGAAGTCATCCTGGAAACAGTGAGGGAACGGCCCCGCTGCCTGGGCCCTGGCTCAGGCCGCCCAGGAGCCAATGGTACAATTTCGTGGTGGCCATCTTGGCACTTGCCCCGGTGGACCATGCCTTGGCACTTGCCCCGGTCCCACCCCCTTATGCCAGAGACCCTCAGATCTGTCCCACTCCTGCCCACGCCCCCATAGGCACCCTTGACGCGAATGACGTAGAACTGGCCACGCCCACCTAGTAGGCCACACCCACTCCATCCATGCCCACCCAGTAGGCTGCACCCACTCTGGCCATAGCCACCCGCCCCCCCCAGGGCAACTGCAATGCTGATGGGGCCCTCAGTGAAATTGAGTTTGACACCCCTGGTATAGAGATTTCTTAATCATCCAGGACATGATTGTCCCAAAGGTGGACTTTCTTGGGATTTTTTTCTCCTTGAAAATGTTTCGCTTCTCATCCAAGAAGCTTCTTCAGTTTTCAAGGGAACCCCCCCCCCCCAGAAAGTCCAGTTGTCTTTGGTACATATGAAGGAGGAAATTTCCTTTCTTTTTTTGACCCTGTAAGAACTCAACAGTTGAAAACAACCCAGTGATCTTAAATATTATAAGAAACAAATCCACCCAAATCTGATAAAGGGGCAGAGTTGGTTTCACTGGAAAAAGCCTTCATAATATTGGTCCCTGTACTGCATTGCTGACTTATCTAACCCTGATAACTGAGGGGTGTGATGTGGAGGTTCTGTGGATGGATTAGCTCCATGAGTAGCTCATGTAGGCCTCTAAGAATAGTATACTTAGACTGAGCCAACACATTCTGTACTAATCGACAGTTTGCTTTCTGGCGCTTTCTAAAATTGGGCTAGATTCTCATAACATTACACCAGGTTTTGTTGGCTGGATTCTCATTACAACCCAACTGTTTTGTAAACTATGGCTTAAACTGTTGTGTGAACACAGCCAATTAATGGCTAATCTAATACTTTTGCATCATGTGTTGACAGTTGTGCAGTTTTCTAATGATGCTGCATTGGCAAGCTCAAAGAGGAGGAAATATTTAATTCCTAGTGTTAATCTGAAGAGAAATTGGAGCATCATGGTTTAGTGTCACGCATGAATGCAGCCAGAGAATTAGCCAGTTCCAAGAATTATTACTTTTAATTGCCACGGATAAAGTCATTATGAAGTATTATCTTGACCCTTAAAGATATGAATGAGTGTGTTTTCCACCGCAAAACCATGTGTCTGCCGTTTTCTTCTCTATTGTTTTTAAATAGAGGACCTTCTGATCTCTCATGCAGTCCAAATGTATGAAAAAAATAAGCACATTAGTTTGATATGTTCAGCAGTTAGACTGACCTTTCCCTAACCCTAACTCAGTGTCCTTCAGAGATGTTGGACTAACATTTTTATAACCTGCAGCTAGGCTGTTCTGGTAGTTCAACATAACTGGGTGGTTGTTGATTTGTAACCTGGAATCAAAAGATTCTGTTCTCGGAAACAGCATTTCCAAAAGCAAGGAATCAACTGGGAGGGACTTTTGGTGGTCTTCAGACTTAGCTGTTAAGCATTGAAGGGGATTGAGGGAAAGAAAGCAACTGTCTTCTTCACATGTTTTACTAACTGATTAAAACAGGTATTTTACAGACAGCACAAGATGGTTCAGATTGGCTCAGAGTTATGTTTGCCCCATTTCTTTTCTCCACTCTCTTTATTTTAAGCATTCCTAGTAGATTGCATATAAAACACACTAATTCTCTGCATTTCACAACAGTGAAACTGACTGAAATCATACTTTTTTTGCTATGGTCCGCTGTGGTGTATCGTTAAAGGTGCATCCTTAGCCTCAAACACATGATGTAAAGCAATCAGTACCATTGATTTTATTAATAAATGGCCTGCAGAAAAGGAGTGGAGGATGAAAACTTTACCTCCTTGGAAATTGACAGTCTTGCAAAAACTCAAAGGAGAGTATTGAAGAATGATTTAAAATACCTGTTTTAAACAGTAGTAGTAGTGTTTTAGGAATGTATCTCTATTTTCTTTCCTTTTCGTTTCTTGAAACTGTGGAGTTTGCACAGCACAACAAGGCTTCATGCATACTTTTTAATCTGCACAGGATGGACTGAATCTGTTTGGAAGATAGAATCCTTTCAAATAATCTGGAGCTAAGCACTTTGTTATTTCTCCCCAACCCATTTAAATTCTACATCAGCTTTGTAATTTGAATAGTACTTGGTAACCTTTTGGTAAGCAGTAAAAAAAAATCCAGCAATTGCTTATGCTGGCAGAGAGGTTTTCACTCATCAGCATGCAGGCAGCTAGCTAGCTGCCTTCTGGACCAGCTGTAGTGTCCAAGCAGTTTTCAGAAGCAGCCCCAAGTAGAGCATTTTACAGCAGTCTAACCTCAAGATGACAAAAGCACGAGTCACTCTTGCCACAACTAATGAAATTGAGAAAGTCCTGGTCACAGGCTTCTACAGGTCCAACAGTACCCTGAAAGACCCCCTGAATCTCAGATTTGCTTCTTCAGGGAAAGTGTAACCATAACCCGAGTCAGTAAAAGAGTAAAGATGGTTTGGAAGTCCCTGGGGTTTATGTGTGCCCTAGAGCCCCAGGTTGTCTATTTCTGCATTGTAAGAATCAAGGAGGATATGTAACCTTGAGAGGGTGGGTGGGTGGGAAATTGTGCCCTTTAATTTATAATTCAACTTACATAGAAGAGCAGTGGTGGTGCAGTGGTTAGAATACAGAATTGCAGGCTAACTCTGCCCAAACACCAGGAGTTCAAACCTGACCATCTCGAGGTTGACTCAGCCTTCTCTCCTTACGAGGTGGGTAAAATGAGGACCCAAATGGTTGGAGGCAATAATATGCAGACATTTGTAAAAGGCTCAAAGAGTGCTGTAAAGCACTGAGGAGTGGTATATAAGTTTAAGTGCTGTTGCTATATTTTAGTATCTTGTGACCTTATTAGCTAATGACCAGCTTCCCCTTGCATGAAGCTGTGCTGTGTTTCCCTTTGCGCCTTCCATCCTTTTCTGTCTTCAGAGCTTAAATATTTTCAAGCAGTGACTCTTTAGTGGAGTTAGCACAGTTCATGCAGTTTAAAGCTGAAGAAATAATACCGTAGGCAGGTTTGGGGCTCAGGTGCTGATTACCTCTCTCTCTCTGTGACATTTATAGCTACCTTGTTAAATACTGGGAGCACAGCAACAGTGGCTTTGCTGCGAGATGGCATTGAGCTGGTGGTAGCCAGTGTGGGTGATAGCCGTGCGCTGTTATGCCGCAAAGGAAAAGTTGAGAAGCTGACCATTGATCATACTCCAGAACGGAAGGATGAGAAGGAAAGGTACCTCTGCAAAATGTGCAACTTCGGGCTTAATTTTTTTTTAAAGAGAGGTCTTTTGAAGTTGTAGAAATGGGATGCTTTGCAAAGGGGGGGGGGGCAGAATTCTTCAAGTAAAATTATTGTGTGAATTGTTTGTAGAAACATAATGTGCATGACGGTGATTATTTTTTATATTTTATTTTATTTTTAAGAATCAGGAAATGTGGTGGTTTCATCTCCTGGAACAGTCTGGGGCAGCCCCATGTGAATGGCAGACTTGCAATGACCCGTAGTATTGGAGATTTGGATCTTAAGAAGTGTGGTGTGATCGCAGAACCTGAAACAAAACGGGTGCAGGTAAGTGGTTGTGTAATAATGCCTCCTCTCCCACATCTGAAGATGCAGCTTATTGAAAGCTGATTTGGTACAAACACAATAGCTGTGTGGGGTGATTATTTGTGTCATTCTTGTTTTAGGCAGCACCCAGCAAGTTGATACTGATATCCTGGTCTGAGAATTTTATTTATATTTGAAGTTCATTGCCTCATTGTATAGTTATAACATTACTCAGCTAAAAAGGAGACTAGCACAGTGGATAGTGCATACATATGGTGTCCCTAGTGGTGTATGAGTATGATATGGATTTTCATATATAAATGTAGCTATAAGTAGAGCACCCTGCAGAATTCAGAAATTTATTTTTTTTGAAATCGGGAGTAGGCAAATATTTTTCATCTGAAAGCTGTACCTAATAATAACAGTAATAGATCTCCAACAGGTACAGGGTACAGGGCCCACTAGAATGACTTGATGATGTACTTGAGTGGCTTGAGCCAACTATTTAAAACACTTTTTAAAAAAGCGCTTTATTGCTCTAATTCGGTAGTCCCCAACTACCGGGCCATAATCCAGTACTGGGTCACGGCCCATTCATAAACGGGCTGCAGGAGTGGTGGGTGGAGTGTGCGCTTGCATATGCAATGCATTTGTGAAAGCTGCATATGTGTGCACGTGCATGAAACCAACCCCACCACTGCTGCTCTAATTTATATACTTTTGCATCCAGTTTTATCTGATGCGTGCTTGTGCATGCTGTTTTTGAACTGGGAAGTGTACCAGTTAAAGTAGGCGTTCCTATTTTCAGTTTAGGAAGAACAGATTTAGGAAATTTAGGAAGAACAGTTTGCATAAAAATAGAATCCGAACAAGTTTTTCCTTTGTTCATCGCTATTTAGCGGTTTCTACTAGAGGAGGCATGACAAACTCATGACGTCATGGAACATTTTCCTCATTGCTGACAATGGGGTGGGCGTGGTTTCCTCGTGATGCGTCCGGCCCGTGGGCCGGCAGTTTGACACTCGTGTACAACTAGAGCATCTTAAGTCTGGATAATTTGTATACTCTTTGTGTTGCTTTAGTTACACCATACAAGTGACAGCTTCTTGGTCCTGACCACAGATGGCATCAACTTTATAGTAAACAGTCAAGAGATCTGTGACTTTGTTAACCAGTGCCATGATCCAACCGAAGCAGCTCACATCATTACTGAGCAGGTAGGTGTTTTCTGCCTTAGGAACAATGGTTACTGGCCAGCTTTCAGCTAATGGTATCTGCATTTCCATGGATGATTCCAATGGAAAGGAATATTAGTAGCTCAAGGATGAACTGTGAAGATTTTGGTGCTCTCTGAGCTTGGTTGTTTATTTGCAGACTTTTCATTATCTAACCAGGTAACAACGTGCACTGGTGATGCTCCCACTGATATTGCCGAGTTGGATATAGGTAGTCCTTGATCTAGGACTGTCATGGTGGCTGCCATTACAATCGTAAGATGTGATGGTCATAAAGAGGGTCATCCATGTGGCTGACCCAATTTTACAGCCTTTTTGGGGGTGATGGTTTAGTGCAGGGGTAGGCAACCTCGGCTCTTTTAGGACTCATGGACTTCAACTCCCAGAATTCCTGAATCAGCATAGCTGACTCAGGAATTCTGGGAGTTGAAGTCCATGAATCCTAAAAGAGCCGAGGTTGCCTACCCCTGGTTTAATGAATGCATAGAGCGAATGCTATAGTTGTTAAGAAAACACTGTTGTCGTTAGGCAAACCTATTGTTCATTATGGGGTGTTGAAAACTGGAAGTAAATTTGGCAAAATTGTAAATCGCAGACATGTGACTTGGCAAATAGCTGTAAATGCAGGCCGGTTGCTGAGTGGCCGAAATGCAGTCACATGACCTGGGAGGCCACGGTTGAAACTTTGGAAGTGGGTCATAATTACTTGGGGGGGGAGGGAGTCTGTTGCTAAGCAACTGGTCATAAGTCAAGGACTACCTGTAGTGAAATGTCTGCAGCAAGTAACCAAGCTTAGAGAGCTCCAGGAATTCCACAATTTAAGGATGAGGTATCCTCTTGAGAACTTTGACAGCTGATACAATCTGAAAAGCCGGGAGTTTTTTTTATATCTTTGGAGGGAGTGGTGATAATTCTAAAACAACACGGACAGCTTGCTGCCTGGTACTCAGGTATCGTCTTAGAAGTTACAGATGGGGGGGTAGTCTAAGGCCATATGTGGGGCATGTACAGCTCCCCCAGCACTCTCCCTCTCCCTCCCTCCCTCCCTCCCTCCCTCTTCTAGTTGAAAACCACGATATTGTCATCATAATTGGAGGGCTTAAGCAGGATAGAATTTTGCCTCTTGAGCTCCCACCCAAAATTTTGAAGAAAGGACAAAAAATTAATTCCTGTTTCTTTTGTTAATGTCATCATCCTTCCAGCTAGCACCTAGGGCTCTTCAGCATGATTGAGTAGGAGAGAGGCAGGAAAAATTGCTCATCCTTTGGGCTGTGGGGAATCCTCACTCCTGGATAATAACTGTTGCCATAAGATACCCAGAGAAACAGTTTGGTTTTAGAAACAGGAAAGGTTTCCCCTCTCTTTCTAGAGCAGCGTTTCTCAACCTTGACAATTTTAAGGCATGTGGACTTCAACTCCCAGAATTCCACAGCCAGCATTGCTAGCTGTGGAATTCTGGGAGTTGAAGTCCACATGCCTTAAAATTGTCAAGGTTGAGAAACACTGTTCTAGAGGGTGTCCTAATAGGAAACTCTTCCATTAGATTTTACTTAGAGGTAACTAAAAAGACTCCCTGATAGGGTTTAGTATTTTTGCTGATCCCCTGCTTAGTTTATCTTTGCTTTTCTGTGAGAACTGGAGCATTCTTCTTCTCAAAGCAGTGAGCTGTCACCATATATTATTTTTATTTGTAAAAGTGAGGCTGGTCTCAACCTCCAGGAATTCTTATAAATGAACATGATAATAGAAGTTCCCCTTTACCAATAGAAGGGAATATTTTTTGTAGCTCAGGGTTGAACTATGGAGTCGTTGTTGCTTTCTGAGGTTGGTTGTTTTCCAGTAGACGTTTCATTACCCAACTACTGTAGGTAATGTTATCAGTGCTCTGATGATGTTATTTGGTGGGGTAAGGAAATGTCTGCAAAAAATTTACGCTCAGAGAGCACCAAGGATCCCAAAGTTCACCTTTGCTCTGTAGAATGACAACTTCCCTTTTTCCCCCCTTAAAATATCTTTGAAACATTTTATTTGGGGCTGGAATTAGAATGACTGCCCGTGGATGTCAGATTTCTCAAGAGAGTGAGGCTAATAAGTACTTATTACCATATCTGGTGGACATGCCCTAAAGCAAAAAGATTTTGGTTAAAAATACATTTATGGTTGGAGAAAATGACTAAAAAATAGTAGACTTTAAGCCAGAATTATTTTTGTTAGGAATAATAGGAGCAAATTATGAGAAAGACTGTACTATATATATTTAATTCTACAGTAAGAATTGTATTTGCCCAACATTGGAAAAAATGAAAATTTACCAACCGAAGAAGAATTAAGAAAATTTTAGAGCAGTGATTCTCAACCTGTGGGTCGGGACCCCATTTGGGGTCAAACGACCATTTCACGGGGGTCGCCAAACAACGCAGTCCGCCATTTTTTCCCCCTTTTCCTTAGCTGTGCTACTCCCTTTTATTCTATTGGCTTTTGAAAACCAATAGAATAGACTCTCTTGAATAGAGTCTAATTCTATTGACTTTGTCCAGGCTGTCTCTGCCCTGCTGAGCCCGCCAAAAGTCCCATTCTGCAAACGGTGCTGCACCAGTTGAGTAATCCTCGACTTACGACCGGTTGAGTAGTCCTCGACTTACGACCAGTTGGGGATCACGGCATTAAAAAGGTTGAGAACCACTGTTTTAGAGTGTGCAGAAATGGATAGATTGACTTTAAAGATAAAATAGAAAGAAGACTCAGTGTATTTTAGAACATGGGATGACTTTTATCAATGGCTAGAAAAACGAGTTAGAGAGAAAGGAATGTGATATGTAACTTTGAATATATATTAGCGATTAATTAACATATTGTTTATGATAATTAACTACTACTCATTGGGTTTTTTTTAAAATACATGAACCCAGACATTATGCTGTTTGCCTAAATATTGAGAATGTTACGAACTTCTGCCTTTCTCATTGTTCTGCAAGGCTATGCAGTATGGGACAGAAGATAACGGCACCGCTATTGTAGTGCCATTTGGAGCCTGGGGCAAATACAAAAACTCTGAGATCAACTTTTCCTTCAGCCGAAGCTTTGGTTCAAGTGGAAGATGGGCATGAGCATCTTTCTCCACCAAGCTGCTAAACATTTAAAGATGTAGATTGCAGAAAGGTGATACATAGGTAGAAAACCTCCATCTTTTCTAGCAATAGGCCCTTTCTGCTTGACTAGCAAACTGCTGTTAACTTGATGTCACCTCTTAACAAATGTCTTTGTTACTGCTTCTCTCAAACCAAGCATTCTCACACCTTTGGTCCTTCTTCGTGGGCTTCTGCAGGGGCAAGATGCTGATATTTTTTTGGCTGACTGTCATTGTGATGTCACCTGTTTCTCCTGAGGTTTTTGAGATATTTTAGAGAAACAAAGGAATGTGGCGAATGCAAGCAGACTGCACAGCTCTGCAGTTGGTGAACCAAAGGACAAGGAGAAGAAAAGTAGCATTTTATCTCCTGTGCTATTCCATCCTGTGTAAGGGAAATTCAAAGACTACTAGAAAGTTGGAGAGCTAAAGGGTGGGTTTAATTGCTAGTTCACTATCACTGTCACATTGGGGTTAGAATAATTCAACTCTGAAAAGGAGTTTCAGTCTCAAGACTGATAAGCCTCAGGATTGTGAGTCCAGAGACAGAGATAACTGTGTATTTCCTGTACTGATGTCCCCTTTTTTTGAAAAGCAGAGAGAAAGTTGTACGCTTGGTTAAATATCTGCATTTTGTTTAATGTATAACTCAAGAGACACAGTATAGCTCTTGAGACAGTACTAACCAGGATATACTGTATTAGTATGCCTTCTAAAAATATCAAATAAATTCTGTTTTTTTTTTCTTTAAAGGGGCCAGTGCTAAAACCCCTCCTTTAAAAAAAATATTCCACATTGGCTACTGTTAAATTCCTTTTCTAAGTATTAATGTACAGCATTAATGCAATTAATTTTGATGATGAGATTATTTTGGTTTGTTTCATAGTTTACAGGAAGATGAGCTTGGTTTTCTAGGTTCTGGCTATTGAAAGGACGTAGTCTAAATCTGTTTAGAATTGTCCCCAACTTTAAAGTAAAAATTGGAGGGAAATGGAAGTTTCAGAGAGGCCAGTAATATATTTTCAAACAACTCTATTCCTTCCCATTTTAAAATACAGTTATGAAGGGAACAAATCTGTGTGTTTCTAAGCAAGACTACAGTAATTGAAGTAAAAGCAAGGTTAATTTCATGGCACAGGCATCTCTCAGTCCCTCTGGGGAACCTTCCCCATCTTTCTGCCCTTCAGATGCTTTGGGGGCTGATAACACCCATCTGATTAAGAATTTCAGGAGTTTTAGTATCCATCTGAGAATATCAGGTGGAAAAGAAAGCAGAACTATTGGTGTTAAAATCTATATTTCTACATTGGAAATTGTCTGACTCAGCAGTGAGATCTCACGACAGTGCCGAAATATCATGCATTCTTGCTGAGCAAGAAAACCGCAGCCTCATGAGATTGGATGATCTCAGAAGCTTCCAGCCTTTGGGGTGGGAAAAACCCACTGAATCTTGAAAACAGCCCTAATTTAGACCAGTGCCATCTAAATATGTTGTGGATACTGAATTCCCAGTCCCTATTAACAGGTCTGTACCCACAAGGTGTGAGAAAGCAGTAAGCCTTCTGAGTCATAGATATCTTTGAGAGAGCAAATGAGGAAAACCTTTGTCATGACCTCATTGGACAAATGTGATCGGCATCAATCCAAACAGTGACAGATTACATAACGTTGTAGGATGGTGTCATGATGTACTTCATAATGTTATTGTGACTCCTGCCAGATGCCTATGGCTCCAATATAAACATTGGGAGTGTTTCCTCGTATTGAAAAGGAAAGAATATTAAATAGAAATGTAACACTTGCCTTCCCCTGCGTAGTTACTTTGCATCTGGGAATAATAGTGCTGAGCCATTTAGTTGAACCCTGGTCACAATGTGAACGATGGACTTACACAACTGGACATCTAAGCCCGTAGCACCAAAAACCACTTTGGGTGTCAACCATTCCGATGCTGCCTCTGTACATCCTTCTGCTTCTGACTGATCCTTTGAACTTGTGAAAGACTTTGCAGACAGTGCCCTGGTATTCTTCTGTTTTTGTCTGCTGTAAATTTTTATTCGTTTGTATTCTATACACACAGATTCTATAACACAATTATATAGACTTTAAAAGTTATGTTTAGAAATTGTATACTCTTTTATCGGTTACTGTCATTTTAAGACAAAGTAGTATATATTGATGTTAAAAACATTTTGTTCTTCCTGAGTTATTTTTTTTTAAGGGCGTTTTGTTTTTGTTCTTGTTTGCTACAACAAAAACACCAGCTCTCCCATGGGCTAAAACAGGCATGCAGTCAGAATTATCACCATTATATAATATAAATATATGATGCAAATAAAATATACTTCCAGGTAAAGGAGCAGTTTTGGCCATGACTCAGCTTCTTTCTCTATTAATAGCAGCAGCTCATAAAAGAAAAGGAAGCTGATAATTACTGAAGGCAGAGAAAGCAAATACTGTATATTTTTTCCCCTTCATTATAGCCCTACCCCCAGAGAGTAAATGCCATTTCAGAAAAATGGATTTTTCCACTAGAGCACAATAGAAAGGAGTTTAAATTCTTTCCCCATTCCTGCTCTAATCTTGCTAATTATCCATTCCATCAGCTGACATTGCATATTTTTAAAGTTATGGCAATAAACACAAGGCGATGCAAATTATCTCCTTTGGTGCTCATAAAACTAGAAATAAAGGGAATCTTGATCAGGAAATTCATACATCTGATCTTAATATATATATTTATTTAAAGGCACAATATATTAAAAGGAGATGTGTATGGGTCAGTGTAATGTATAGCTCAAATCTGAAATTGTCTGGTAAGAAAGAAAATTGTAAAACTTTCAAAGAAATTATCTTAGGTTGTGGTTGAAAGCATCAAGGCACCAAGCCAATTGTAGTATGTCAAGAAATCCAGGCTTGGAAGACGCAATTGTTTGCTTCCTGCTGTGGATTGCAAAAGAGGTTTATCAAACATCTGAGTTATAGGAAAAGTTTCTCCCTTCCACCTTAGAATTCTACCAGTTGAAGAAGACTCAACAAGACAGTTATTATCCTGCGGCTCTTATTGATCTGGTGATTGTTGAGCGCACATGGAATTGAACTCAGTTGCCATTTCCTTTGTAACAAGGAGAAACTGGAGGGTTGTATAGATAGAACTACCAATTGTTTGGAGGGTTTATCTGCCTGGCTGGGGTAATTACCTGTGTAGTCAGTGTGCTATCACCGGTTCATTCAAGGTGTGTTTTGTACCAGAGGGCCTGGTGAAAGTCACAATAATGTTTATATTCTTCAGTTCCAGCATATTTAAGCATACATTTAGGAAAGGGAATAAGCAAACCAACCTGGATTTAGGAAAACAAGTTTAGATGTGTTTTAACACACAGTTTATTGATCCCAAACAATGGGTAGCTTTCTCACCATATTGAATGTACTGTAGGGAAAGTTTTTTGAGGTTATTAAGCTGCAGTGCCTCCTGCACAAGAGGAGGCAAATAATGGTTAGAAAATGATGACTGTTCCTGAATGCATAGAAAGGTTTGGCAACCTGGCACATCAAAATTACTTTTAAAAACTCGAAAGTGCGCTTGCGTGCATTTCTGTTTTAGGAAGCATGTGAAAATGTACACTAGGTAATTGAGATTTCTGGGAGAGGCATTTAAATTTATGGTATCAGATATGAATCGGTTACAGCTGCTGTATTTCTGTAGGACGTGAGATGAGAAATGATGATTGTGGTAAAAGTCGCACACACAGATGTTTATGAGAATATACTTAGTTCTTAGACTTATTTATTCTTTTGTTGGTACCATATGCTACCTTTCTGCTTTATTTCTAACGAAGCAAAATTGCAATGAATGTTTTTGTATGCGTCACCCCTGAAAGCAGTTCTCAGGCCTTGCAAAAGATATGGCTGCTTTAATGATACAGAACAAAGTCCTTGGTTCATGCCCTCTTGCATGACACCGTATCTCTTGATTGCTTTTCATCACCATTTATTGTTTGGATTGAAGGCAAGACTGTGTCCAAAATATCAGGTATTAATTGTGATAAAATATGTACATATTTTGAGCAAGTGTAAAGATGACTGGCTTGTTATTTCATTTTCAGTGGTTTATTTTACAACTGTATATTTATCATGGAGCAGAATAAAGAACTTGCTCCCGAGTACTTTTTGTCTTCTTTTTCTTTCCTCTTCAGCTGCATATTTTCATAAAATTTATTTATCAGATGTGGACACTGTCCATCTTCATATCCAAGAACATAATCCAATGCAATGTTCCCCAAATCTTACCATTCCCCCGATATTCCCAGCCAGTATTGGGGGGGGGGGAATAGAAGCGGTATAACACAAGAGGGTTGTAATGGATGACTTTGGACTCCAACTTGCTTGTGAAATTGAATATGTGGGACAGAATAATGGTGCAATAGAAACCTTGCCTGGAAATAGTCAACCAGTGGGAGTCACATTTATGCCACAGTGTTTAGCAATAGCACTTAGACTTATATGCAGCTTCACAGTGCTTTACAGCCCTCTGTAATCCCACTTGCTTGTGAAATTGAATATGTGGGATAGAATAATGGTACAATAGAAACCTTGCCTGGAAATAGTCAACCAATGGGAATCACATTTATGCCGTAGTGTTTGGCAATAGCACTTAGACTTATATATTGCTTCATAGTGCTTTACAGCCCTTGGTAAGTGGTTTACAGAGTCAGCATATTGCCCTTAACAATCTGGGTCCTCATTTTATCAACCTCAAAAAAATAGAAGGCTGAGTCAACTTTGAGCCAGTGGGAATCGAACTGCTGGCAGCTGGCAGAATTAGCCTGCAATACTGCATTCTAACCACTGCACCACCATAGCTCCCACCATGTTTATGGCTGGAATGAGGCTTCTGAGATTTATTGCCCTGCTGGATGGGAACTTAAGGCAGGAATTTCAAGTTGCTTTGTCAAGAGACAAGGATGTAATTTGATGGAGTGTGTGCTTTCTATACAGAGGTTATTTGGATCTCCAGTCAAAAAGATCTCAATGGTTGGTTATTCCCAGCCTTAATAGAGAATGCTGGGTTTGGTAGCCAAATAATAGGACTTGTCTGCCTTTGGAATGTTCACATGCTATGTTATTACATACCTAATTAACAAACCACAATGGTTAAGTTTACACAACACATTAAATCCAAGCAAAACAAAGTACATTATGGTGTGAACTAGGTTTCTCTATTCCATTCATAAAATCACAGATTGGAAGGAAGAATCCAAATGAAATCATGAATGAGACACCACCCATCTCCCTTGTGTTAGAAGACTTTGAAAGGGAAGCTCAGTAACAACACTATGGTATTACTCATCCCCTCTTCAAGCAGATCCGTTTCATGCCACTATTTTTAATGCAGAAAATATAAACACTTATTTTGAACGACAAAGGCGGCTCTGTTTACACATTTGCTTGCAATATATACGATGGGGAAATAGCTAACAGCTGCAAAAAATTGGACAAGTGCATTAATGAAGTGGAAGATGCTGGCGCGAGATGGGAATGGCACACATTACGTCAAATAGCTCAGGCAATGCAAAATTGGATCCTCTCCATGACAAACAGAGCAATCAACCATGTTAGATGAGATTCTTATTTGTAAACCAGTGTTTCTCAACCTTGACAATTTTAAGGCATGTGGACTTCAACTCCCAGAATTCCACAGCCAGCATTGCTGGCTGTAGAATTCTGGGAGTTGAAGTCCACATTCCTTAAAATTGTCAAGGTTGAGAAACACTGTTGTAAACTTTTAGCCAAGGCTTTCCTTAGCGAGAACAGGAAGGGCCTGTCAAAATAATTAGTAGTTGAAGTAGCATGTCACTTTAACCCAAACTTGGAGAGAGAAACTAAATAGGCTAATCTTAATCTTCTAATCTTCAGGTTCTTGGATTTATAGCCAAGATACGTCCTCTTTAGTGACAGGTGCTCTGACCCAGATGTAAAACTCAGATCATTTTTTTTAAAATGTTGACACCTGGAGAAGCACCTGCCATCCTGTTACACACTCCACAAAGTAGTAATGGTGAAGCAATGCTCAGCTTTGCCAGGGAAGATAAAGCATTGACTGGAACTGAAAAAAAGCTTTTGAGTACTTATGTATTGCAAAAGATAGGTGTTTCTGATTCAGAAAATGTAAAACTTTCTCTGCGTTATATATGGAATAATGGTTTTCTTAAATCAACTGTCCAGATTCACTCCAAATGTGTCAGGATGGCAAGTTCTGGAGTTTCCAGTACTGATTGGGAATTCTGGTGGCAGTCCTAATATACCTGGTGGTCAGAGCAGGTTACAGAAAACTATTCCTATTAACTTTTACTCAATTTTTAAAATAATGTATTGACAAATAAGGCAGGGATCAAATCTTAATGTTATTCATGATTTTTGAAAAATTAAGAAATGTGAATGGATCAATAGCACAAGATAAGAGTGATAAGAAAAATGAAAGCCAAGGAGATTGGTAGAAGGAACAGTGTATACTTTTCATGAATTGTGTCATTGTTTCATGACACTGTGATTCGTGTGATGTCATTCCACTTTTTTTTGTGGGTGGATAAGTTTCAAGCTCAACATCACAGGACACCGTTTTTTTAAAATATAATTTTTTATTAAAATCTTTCAAACAGGAAGATAAAAACTAATACAAACTAAGGAGAAAAGGGAAGGGAGATCAAAGAAAAAGCAAAAAAATGCAAGAAAAAAGTTGAAAAATAAAAAAGAAAGAAAAAGATATAAAGAGGTTGTTTCCAATATTCTTTACAGAAGTTATAAGTACAAATATATATTTAAATCTTTCTCTAAAGTTACATCATATTCCCGTTCTTTCTATGATCTATCGTGTCTAATCATCAAAGACATAAATCACACTTTTCTATTTTTATGCCAAAGGTGTATAAGAGGCTTCCAGTCACCAATATATGTAAATATCTTTAATCAAAGAAGTCAATTCATCCATTTTACCAATATCTGCCATTCCTCCATAGTAGGTAGGGTAGAATCTTTCTGTCTCTGCTGTAATCATATATATTGAATTAATCACAGCTTTTTTAGCTGTTTATTCATTAATCCTAAATCACATGATAACATTTTTAATGTACAGCATTCCTCTTTCAAATTCCAATATTCTCAGTTTATTACTATCCAGTTACAATGCCAGAATGTGGCGGGGGGGGGGGAACCACATATCGGGAGATTTACCCGATACAGCTGCAAACATCTGGACACCCAATAGTTAGCAAAAGTTAGTTCTTTTTTGCCTTGTTGTGGAACCCAGCCTACTACAGAAGACTTTGCTTCCTCTCGTTCCATTGTCCGTCCCCCAACTTCAAATTTATTAATTTGATCCTAGAAAACAAATTGGAACAGCATAAGAGGCAAATTCCAGCAGTAATTCTTAAATCTTAAATGATTATGGTTTTAATGTTTTATTATATTGATTAAATAGTAGTGCTTAATAATAGTAACCCTGAGAGGGATCTCGGAGTCCTAGTGGACAGTCACTTAAATATGAGCCAGCCGTGTGCTGCAGCTGCCAAAAAACCCAACACAGTGCTAGGCTGCATTAACAGAGGGACAGAATCAAGATCACGTGAAGTGTTGACACCACTTTACAATGCTTTGGTAAGGCCACACGTGAAATACTCCATCCAGTTTTGGTCACCATGACGTAAAAAAGATGCTGAGACTCTAGAAAGAGTACAGAGAAGAGCAACAAAGATGATTAGGGGACTGGAGGCTAAAACATAAGGAACGGTTGCTGGAATTGGGAATGTTCTAGTTTAATGAAGAGAAGGATGAGGGGTGACATGATAGCAGTGTTTCAATATCTCAGGGGTTGCCACAAAGAAGAGGGAATCAAGCTATTCTCCAAAGCCCCTGAAGGCAGGACAAGAAGCAACGGATAGAAACTAAGCAAAGAGAGAAGCAACCTAGAACTAAGGAGAAACTTCCTGACAGAACAATTAAGCAGTGGAACAACCTGCCTCCAGAAGCTGTGAATGCTCCAACACTGGAAGTTTTTAAGAAGAGACTGGATAGTCATTTGTCTGGAATGGTATAGGGCAGACATGTCAAACTTGCGACATCACGTGTTGTCGTGCAACGTATTGGGACTGTTTTTCCATTGCTGGCAATGGGGTGGGCGCGGCTTCTGCATGACGCATCCGGCCCACAGGCCAGTAGTTTGACACCCCTGGTATAGGGTTTCCTGCCTGAGCAGGGGGGGGGTGGACTAGATGATCTCCAAGGTCCCTTCCAACATTATTATTATTATTATTATTATTATTATTATTATTATTATTATTATTATTATTATTATTATTATTATTATTGATCATCGCACAGTCAGCCAGATGTTCAGACTGGATTTGGCATTTTGTCTACCTATCGAGTCCTTACCCAGGACCTGGGATAGGCAGATGTGGATGTTTGATGGTATTACAGATATCGTCGCAAGATGGAAGCAGTTCCTAGTAAGGCCGCCTTTTGCAATTGACTAATAGCGAATTTGTCAATGCCAATGGTGTTCAAGTGGTGCTCCAGTTGTTTTGGGATTGCACCCAAGGAGCCTATGACTATTGGTACTACCCTTGCTTGCTTTTGCCACAGTCTTTCTATTTCTATTTGTAGGTCTTTGTATTTTGTTATCTTCTCCAGTTCTTTCTCTTCTATTCTGCTATCTCCAGGCACTGCCACGTCCACTATCCAGACTTTTTTGTCTTTCTTATCGACAATTGTTAAGTCTGGGGTGTTATGTTGCAGGTGCTTGTCTGTTTGAATTCTGAAGTCCCAGAGCAGTTTAATTTTATCATTTTCTATGACTTTCTCTATTTTATGATCCCACCAGTTTTTGCTTACAGGCAAATGATATTTTTTGCAGATCTTCCAATGCACCATTGTTGCTACTTTGTCATGCCGCTGCTTGTAATCAGTTTGTGCAATCTTCTTGCAACAGCTTACCAAGTGGTCCACTGTTTCTTCAGCTTCTTTGCATAGGCGGCACTTACTGTCTGTTGCTGTCTTCTCAATTTTGACTTTGTATGCATTTGTCCTTAAGGCTTGGTCTTGTGCAGCCAGAATTAGTCCCCCGGTCTCTTTCTTCAATTTTCCTGCTCTTAGCCATTGCCAGGTCTTG